ACTCTTGGACCGTTTGCCATCCCCGCTTAGCCTTGGGTCCTAGAGTCAGACTTAGGATCTGTGCGAGACCTTTGCTGAGTCCGCTGAGTATCATCAACGGATGATTGCTATGCACTAATTACTGTGCGTCGATCTCCTCCGATTACTGTGCGCTAATTAGAGTGTGCTGAAATGCTGTGCACTGAAATACAATGCGCTGACCATGGTCCGCTGATTACTGTGTGCTAATTCGAGTGCGTTGAAACACTGTGCGCGAATGATTACTGTGTGTTCAATACTGTGCGCTGATCACCGTGCGTGTATGATTACCGTGCGCTGTTGCTGTACGCTTATTAGCGTCCACTAATTACCTTCCGCTGATCACCACTGATTTCCGTGCGCGGATGATGATGCGTTAATTACCGCCCTCTGATGGCTGTGCACTGATCGAACGAGGACCTTGTCCTGGTTCGTGCGTTAGAAGGGACACACACACTTGTGTCCCTTCTAACGAGCATGCATTCCGACTTGTGTCCCTTCTAACGAGCGTGTGCAGTTCTTGAGCCTCCCTACTGCGAGCATGCATTCCGACTTGTGTCCCAGCGGGCCCGATTGGTCTTTCTCGAACACTAGCTTGGGCCCCAGTCCTCCCGGTGATGCCTATGTGATAACGTAGGGCCTGGTTCAAAATTCCTGGGTCAGTTTTATGTCCAAAACCCAATCCCTGGTCCTAGGTTCAAGTCCAAGATTATTCGGGCCAGTCCTCTGTAGCTTAGGTCGGTCCTTCGCGCACAGACCCTGGTCCTCCGTCCTCTAGGCTGGTCCTCCGCACTTTAGGCAGGTCTTCCACGAACAGACCCTGGTCCTTCATACTTTAGGCAGGTCCTCCACGCTTTAGGCCAGTCCTCCGCGCTCTAGGCTGGTCCTCCGCGAATTGGTACTGGTCCTCCGCGCTTCAGGCTGGTCCTCCGCACTTTAGGCCGGTCCTCCGTGCTCTAGGTTGGTCCTCCGCGGTTCAGGCCGGTCCTCTGGGCTCTAGGCTGGTCGTCTGCGAATTGACCCTGGTCCTCTTCGCGTTAGGCTGGTCCTTCCCTCGTTAGCCCTGGTCCTTGGTGCTTCAGTCCAGTCCTGCTCGTGCAGGGTCGGTCCTAGGCTCCGTCCTTGGTATGTCAAGTCATTTGCACACCCGTGCACTGATCCCAAGCACACCTCAATCACGAGCCTGTCATAGCCCCCCTTAGTCACCTTTATATGAGGCTGAAGTAACCTTTTAGTATGGTGGCAATCCGTGGATCCCTCTGATAACCCCAAAAATGTCAGTCGGTAGATTGTCGATTTTGTGTAATTAGATTATTTTAATAGGACACTTTGTGCAAAAATCAGGGAAGTAAGGGCGGCGATAAGGATGGAGCCGCCTGACAGCGTGCACTATGCACTGCACGTGCGCAACTCCCGCACGTGATGCGCCGCAAGTATGATGCATAACTTATTGATTGGCGTGAAAAGGTGACGAGTGCCATGTTAGTTGACTGACCATACGGATAAAGAACGGGGGATGAAAGACAAAAATCGATTGGATGGGAAGGGGGGGTTGAGGAGTGGGGCCAGGAGGGGCGAAGAGGGGATAGGACAGGACGGGAGGGACAGTAGGGGATGGGACAGGACGGGATAGGAGGCAGAAGCCTTGAAGTGGCTTAGGAGAAAGCAGGATGTCAGGAGCAGGGGGCAGCGTGGCCTTGCTGTATGCAGTCCATGCAAGTAAATAATTATAAATTGAAATACTTCAATCATAGTTCCTTTGCGGCAGGCAGAGGAGCGAAGGGAGTGAAGGGCTTCTGCATTGTGTTTGAACTTCCACAGAGAGGACAATTTGCTACTCTTTCCTTCGTTTTTCAAAAGTGGAGCTGCAAAAGATCATCTAGGTTATAATTTACATATGTTAAGGTTGTAACCGTTGTGTGTTACCCTAGTGTGAGTTCAGCTACTGTGAAGAGCAGGTTTCTCATGTCTGTGCTTTGGTTTCCTGAAAGACAGTGGATGGTTGTTTCTTGTGATGTTCAGATGCAGTGCCTCTATTTGGAAAATGTGCTGCGACTGGCAAGAGAGAGTACTGGGACTCTGAGCAATCGACTGCTTGTGGTGGTTGTCGATCACCTCGTCGAGATCGATGTGAGAAAAATACACTGAGCTGAGTGACCTCCCCATTTATTACCCCACCTATTCCATTTGAGACATGACAGTCAAGGTTGAAATAGATTTTATGCAAGTGAACTTACCGCCTTGAATTAGAGCGTTGAGTGCAAAAGTGTTCTTATCTGCTTGAGTCCCACCCTGTGCAGATGTATCTCCTTAGTGCCACATGTTCGCATCTCCTGGACTGCCACCTTGATTGGCATGATGCGAGTGTCACACGTGCAAGTGTCCTTAACTTCTTATCTCCTTGAATAATTGAAACCGTACTCATGGCTTGTTTCTCCCTCCCATGATCCTCCAGCAGTATTGTGTTTGGTTCTTTTCAGCATCTCCAAGTGGTTTTAAGTCTTAACCCAGGCTCCTCCCTTCTCTCTTCCTTTCCCCCGTGCTGCTGTGTACACAGTGAGATAGGCTATCGCGAACCTAGCTGCCCTTGTATTTGTGGTATCATAGCACAAACAGAGCACCAGTGTTTTAGACAAAATAGAAGCCACGGTGTGTGTTCTTTTCATTCAGAACACATGCACTCGATTAGAAGGTTTGGGGATGAACCATTGAAGCTCAAGTTGGTGGGCATAGGCTTGGTTTTGAAGCCTCTTTTTGTCTCGTTTGTTTTTGTCTTCCAGCTGGGCACAGAATATCCGTCCTTTCTTGGTCACATCCCGCAGCACGTGCTTGCATAGGTTTCAGCTCAATGCCTGCAATAACACTCTTTGCATGTTACGAGTCTGTGTCTGAGAATGTGTGTGTGTGTGTGCGCGCATGTGTGTGGGTGTGGTGCGTCACACACACACACACACACACACACACACACACACACACACACACAGAGAGAGAGAGAGAGAGAGAGAGAGAGAGAGAGAGAGAGAGAG